TATTAGGAGAAAAATGTTCCAACTTGAACAAGTGACATTTTAATACTCTCCCAAGTTTAAACTTTGAAACTCCCGCAATAATACAGAACAGATTAAGTTAGCAATTAAGAAAAAGAGATCTATTTCCATATGACCTGAGATGATAACAATACCTCCAGAACTTGAACATGATCCATGTAATTCTAAGCTTCAAGTAGCGCTGGAAGTTAAAGAGACATTCCTTTGATTCTTATGAGCCTGTGTAGTAGATGGCCTTCCATTCAATACATGCACAGACTGTTTTGACTTTATAATTATCATGGTGTAACATGTCCCTATAATCAGTACATACATAGAGTTGTGCAGGATGCCTTTTACCACAGCCTGCATTTTCAGTTAATGATTGATGAGCTTACAATGCCAGCACTCCATCCGCTTAACTTAAGTCTGTATCTTATCCATGCCCAGTCATTTTGGAGGCTGCTGTAAATGTCAAAAGAGCCTGATCCTCATTCTAATGGCCAGCGGAGTTATCATGGAGAGGCAGCACTTATTAGCAGCCTATAAGAAGCACTTTATTGCTTCTTTGGGCCGGTTTTAGATCATCGATGGAGCAAATCTGCAACAATATTTATTTCAATAACATACCTCTCAGATCCTCAAAATTGCTCAGGGTTGTTGGTGGTGCGCAGGGCAGTGGGGTGTTGGTTTACGGGGTTAAAGTTTTCTGTATAATCGGAATGGAGTCTGTTTGATTTACTCCTTGATTGAGGATGATCTGCCAGTGCAGTTTCACAGCCGTTGATCAATATTGTAGGCCGGTGATATATTTTTGCCAAACTCCAATTGTACGTTACATCATTTCACCAGGCATTGCGTGATCATCATAACCTGTTATGCAGGAGCACTTCAGCATACAGCTTAGTTGAGATTCACATATTTAGACCCTCAACTAATCCAGTGCACACTTAGTTGGACTTCATAGAATAACAGATATGTTAAAGTGCAGAAAGAGACTGTTTAGTCTATCGTGTCTGTACCTGTGCTCAAAGCATTTTGGGTTTGTGTCAGTTTTCTGGTTTTTCCCCTAACCTTACACATTGTTTCTATTTAAGTAAAGCATCTGATGCTGTCTTGATTGCCTCCGTTGATCCTGCCTCCACCACGCTTCCAGGCAATAAATGTCCACACCCAAGCTACACACTGTGTGAAATAATTTTCCTCATCTTGCATTTGTTTCTTTTCCAAAACACTTTAAAACTGTGTCCACTGCTTCTGCATCCTGTTTTGAGCAGGAACAGTTTCTTCCAATTTATCTTTACGATTTTGAAAATTTTCATCAGTTCTCCGTTTAGCCTTCTTCTCCCTATGGAAGATGATCTTAGATTCTCCAAAGCTTCCTCATAACTGAAGTTTCTCACCTCTGAAACCGTTCTCTGAAATCTCTTCTGCACTCTATTCAATGTGTTCACATCCTCCTAAAGTGTTCTATCCGGAACCCTACACACTACTCCAGCAGAGGTCTAACTTTGTCCTATGTTAAGTTCAGCACAGCCTCCGTGCTGATACTCTCTGTGCCCCTGTTAATGAAATCTAGAATATTATATGCTTTATTAAATACTTTCTTTACCTGTTCTGCTGCCTTTAATGACTTATGTGCATTTACACCCAGGTCTCACTGCTCCTGTATAGGCTGTAGAATTCTCAAACTCTGATTTTGGTAACCAGCCAGTGTTCCCGCTGTTCTTTTCATTCCATGAACTATAACTTTCTTTATGTGTCTGCTATGTGGCAATGTATTATTGCCTTTGGAAATCCATGTACACCACATGAAAGCATTCCCCTTATCAGCCCTCTCTGTTATCTCTTCAAAAAACTCCAGATATTAGTTAAACATGATTTTCCTTCAGCAAACCCATGTTTATTCTTTTAAATTAATCCATATTTTTCTTTGTGAATATTCATAGTTGTTTCTAGAAGTTGTTCCACCACCAAGGTCAAGCTGGGTGGTGTGTAATTGCTGAATTCTTCTTTCCAACATTTACACCCGTCCTATGGCACTGTCCCTGAGCCCAGAAAAAATTAAAATATTATGGTTAATCTTTCTGCAATTTCCACTCTTGCTTGCTTCAATATCTTTGGATGCACCCCATCCAGACTTGAAATAAAAGCAAGTAATAATGTAAATACTCAGTAAGTCTGGAGCCATTTGTAGAGTTGGATAGAAAGGTAAAATTTTCAGTCAGATATGACTCCTTCAAAATGGAAGGGGGGTAGAAATGTGATGGGTTATATGTCATTGACAAGGGGGTTGCCAAAAAAGAACAAAAGGGATGGGGAAGAGCAAGGGAGAGTATAAATTGTTTCACATAATGTGCTTTCATGATTTCCTGTCTCTCCAATGACTGTCCGCTGAACACAAGCTACAAGTTAGAAGGGTATTGGAACTCTGCTTACTTGTCTGGTTGAGTGCTGTGGCTGCAACACTCAAGAAACTTGACACAACCTATGGCAAAACAGCCAATTGATTGACACCCAATCCACCCAATCAGCATTTATTCCCCTCACCATTGATGTACTGTGGCAGTAGTGTGTATTATTAAAAGACACAGTGCAGTAACCAACCAAGGCTCTTCCCACAGCATCTTCCAAACCCTATCTTGAATGCACCCAAAAAAATTCTCCACCTCTCTGACTTGAGCTGCTTTGGTCTTACCAATTTTAAAATATCCCATTAAAACAACTTTGTTTTTGCAATGAAGTTTTCCAGTCTGTGAATTAATTCTGCATTCTACCTGTTCACTCTTGTTATCAAAAGGCCTTGAAAAAATTCCAATTTGAGTTCAAGTCCTCAATTCCAAACACAAGACTTTACACTGATTACTCATTGCTGATGAAAAATTATGTTTGAGTCATGTGATTGAATGTTTCAGTGAGGTAACCAAATGGATGATGACAGTCAGTTGATGTGTATATTCACCCTCAAAAGGCAGTTGATAATGTTTTATATCATAGACTTATCAACAAATGGAAGCATATGAGATAAAAGGGACAGTAGCAGTACAAAGGATGGAAACCAGCATGCTATAGTGAATTAACAAGGTGTAGAGCTGGATGAACACAGCAGGCCAGGCAACATCAGAGGAGCAGGAAAGCTGACGTTTCGGGTCTGGACCCTTCTTCAGAAATAGGGGAGGGGAAGGGGACTCAAATAAATAGAGAGTGGGGAGGTGATGATGGAAGGTGGATAAAGGAGCAGATAGGTGGAGAGAAGACGGACAGGTCAAGGAGGTGGGGATGGAGCTGGTAAAGGTGAGTGTAGGTGATGGGGGTTGGTCAGTTGAGGAAAGGCGGACAGGTCAAGGAGGTGGGGATGAGGCTAGTAGGTAGGAAGTGGGGGTGGGGGTTGGTCAGTGAGGTGGGAGGAGTGGATAAGTGGGAAAAAGACAGACAGATCAAGGAGGCGGGGACGAGCTGGGCTGGTCTTGGGATGAGGTCGGGGGTGGGGAGATTTTGAAGCTTGTGAAGTCCACATTGAGACCATTGGGCTGCAGGGTTCCCAGGCAAAATATGAGGTGCTGTTCCTGCAGCCTTCAGATGACATTGTTGTGGCACTGGAGGAGGCCCAGGATGGACATTTCGTCCAAGGAGTGGAAGGGGGAGTTGAAGTGGTTCGTAACTGGGAGGTGCAGTCGTTTGTCATGAAGTAACTGTAGGTGTTCCACAAAGCGGTCTCCAAGCCTCCGCTTGGTTTCCCTGATGTAGAGGAGGGCACACTGGGAACAGAGGATACCATATACGATGTTAGCAGTGACTGCTTTCTTTAGATGGTTATGGTAAGTTCCCCAAAGTTCAGAACAAGATGATGTTTTTGATATACATTAATGGCATTTGGGCCAATTTTTAAACTTACTGATCACATGGAACTTGGAAATATAGGAAACAGTGAGGATGATAGTAACATATTCCAAGAGGACAAAGACAATCTAGTGGACCATGTGGATATATGGCAGAAAGGTGTGAAGTAGTACATGTTGACAGGAAAAATATAGAAGCAATACATGCTGAATGAAACCAATTTGTGTTTGTTCACAAATCTTTGAAGATGGTAATGTAAATTACGACAAAAGTCAAGAATGTATGTGGAATTCTGGGTGTTATGAACAGTATAATGAATAAATATATTAGAATATACAGTACATTAAAAAGATGAGGAAAAAATGTTAAACACTAATTCTACTCTACCTGGAGATTTATGTCCATTTATTTATGGTGATCACACTTTAAGGACAAGAAGGCGTCTGAGAAGGTGTGGAAGGGATTTATTAGAATGGTTTCAGAATGAAGAATTGCAGTTACATAGACTAAATAATTTGGGATCAATCTCATTGGAGCAGAAAAGGCCAAAAGTGATTTGATAAAGGTGTTTGGAGTCAAGAGATTGAATGGTTGAAGGCTGATAGAACACATTATATGTGATTGGCCAAAGAACCAAAGGTGAGACAGTACATAGGAACATAGGAATTATGCATGCCTCTGCAAGTCTTCAGTGTGTGTAGAGAAAATTTCTGGATTGTAGAGCTGTATTGCCTTACTTTTGTTTAGAAAAGAATTCCATTATGTCCTGCCAATGCTGGAGACTAATTCCCAGCATTACTAGAACTAGAAGTTAAATTCTTCATTTCTGCATTTAAAATGAATGAATAGAAAAATCACAGCTATGGCCCATTTTCCTATTGAGCACTCCTGGCATGTGCCAGTAGTGCAGTAGTGGCAATTGTATGTAAGTGTTGCAGCCATGTCTAGAGTTAGAACAATGTCAAGAAAGATATTGTTACAAGTAGTCCATCTCCTTATTATTATATTGTTAAGTAATTAATGATTTTTAATTTGCAGTCTACAGTAAATATTGAAAAGTATGCTTAACAAAGCAGAGGCATTATAATGACTCGGGAAGTCTATTAGTATATTATAAGGGCAAAATCCATGTTTGTATATTCTAACAAACCTGCAAATAATAGGTTTTAATCCTTTATGCAGAAATTTCTCCAATCAACATTTTTAAAGAAATGATTGCAGTGGGACGTCAAGTCATTAACAAGGAAGAAAACATAATTAAGGCAAAATATCAGCTTCTTGAAAGTGAACGTGAAATTCTTAGGCTGAAGGAAAATCTTCTTGACAAAGCAGAGCAGTATGTGGATGAAAACCGTAATGTTTAAAATTTCCTAAACTGTAACCAAAATCATACCAGTTTCAATTAATAATCCAATATTGTATATCAAAATCATAATCACATTAAAGAACTCAAATTATAAGTTTGTGATGTTAATCTGTTCTAATTAATTGTAATATTAGAATTTATGTTATTGGAAATGTTTGTATTTCTCTATATGGGCTAAATAGAATCATTGGGATGAACTTAACAAAAATGAGGAATGTGCAGAAAGAATGCTTTGTTTTTTTTTAAATAAAATTTTGTGTATGTTTATAATGCTCTAATTTCATTTCAGAAAGGTTGATCTTTTGAAAATTGTTACTCTGTTTGGCTTAATTCACAGACAGGTGGTTGCAATCCAGAGGAGGACAAACTTCCAATCCACATTTAGGCTTATGGCAAGTTCATAGAAAAAATCTTGACAAAAACAAAGACAATTTAATAATGATTCAAGGCTGGTTGTGGAGTTTTGAGGAAAACAAGCCTAATACACATGCAGAAAGTCTGATCAGTTTGATGACTGCAGGAGTATGACAGAGGCAAATAGGGTCACTTATGACCTTCCATTAGCTTGAAAGTAACTACTCAAAAAGTCTTTAGTCTTAGGATGGCTCCTTGGACATTGGAATATAAAGACTTTAAAAAAATGCAAAAGAGGCTAAATTTTGATTCACCTTGTAAAGAAAATCTGGGCGGGGTCAGGGCAGATTTACATCTTCACCACTTGTGAAGTGGGTCATATACAAATAAGAACTTGCCCAGTTTTCATTTAATTGAAATCAATGGAGTTCCAGAGCAAGTGCTGTATCCGATAACTGCCCAAGCAGCAAAGTCACAAGTCTAACATGGTTAAAAAAAAATTAAATTGTCATTCTCAGTTTCTTGAAATGAAGATGATATCTGCCAGGCTTTATGATTTGTGTGTGCTCAAGTGACACAGCAGGCCAATCCCGGAACCGCAGATTCAGGCAGAGAGGACATGTTTTGCAGGTAGTTAGAGAGAATACTGTGACATACATGCAGTTTGTTCAGTTTTTTGCACAAACTGACGTCAATTCACTCCTCTTTTAATGAGGCCTTCAGAATATCCTTACAACATTCTTTTCAGTCCACAAGGTTGGGTGTCATTCTTAAGTTACAAAAAGACAATCTATCAAAGCCATTTATTTGGGATAAATATCTTTTGTGTTCAGAAAACTTCATATCCAGTTGTTGTGTTTTTGCATATACTTTCTCAATGACAAATTTCTATGCCTTCATTATGTTCCTAGTCACTGCCTAATTACAGGCACTAACCACATGATGGCACTGCTGTATGCGTCCCTACAAAACTTTTTCCGAAACAATTTTCACTGCTTGGTTGCAGCAATTAAAAATAAATAATAAACACCTTACAATAAGACAATTCAATTTACCCAATCCCTTTGATTTTCCAAACCACAACCTTTCTCACCACCCAGACTTGGATTTGATACTTGTACCATGCTGTTCCTGGATCTATTAAATCTCTGGGATATTTGAGTGCGATCGTTGTTATTATCTCTGTGTCTAATTCAGAATTGTTAGTTAGATATCATGTCCCTACACTACCCAGCAACGCAGCAGGCCAAAATATGCCTTTAATGCCAGTTTGCAGTGACTCCTGGCTTATTTTCTTAGATTAAGAGTATCAACATTAAGGTGGGCACATGGCACAAGAAATCCTGGCTCAAAATGGCACTAAGCAGGAATGCTACATAAAAAATTTGCAATAACTTTACCATTGATGGAACGGGCATATATCAACTTCAAGTACTGGTGAATTGCTACCTTTGACTAAACAAAAATGAAATCTTAGCTTAACTTAGGAACATTGTGTAATTACTAATGAGCCCACAGATGGAAAATATCGTTAGAAGCTGCAAAGACTGATAAAATGACATGCAAAGAGAACAATAATCATGCCCGTAAGCAATCAATATTGAAACAAATTAATCCTACACACTGGAGAAATCTACAGCCAAAGTCTTTACCATCATAATTGGATTTCCCCCACGTACGGGTGCTATAAACTACATGCATGGCATTGAGATTATCATACGGAGCAGATTTATCAACAGAAATGCATCCATTCGGTAAATGTACGAGTCATTCGTGATCACTGCTGCCACATCTTACAGGTCTGTCCTCGGTCGCCTGGAAGATGCTAAGACGGCTATACTATCTTGGGTTCTACTTCATTACAACAGTCATACACCTGACAAAGATGGCTGCTTGGCAGCAAGTTCTAACCTCTACAACCATGGTTATACAACCGACTGAAGCCAAGGGAATGCAAGTACCTGGTGAGGCACTTTTGGTAAGGGTAGATAAAATGTAGACCATTCTTCCACCAAAATCATCATGGAGCAGACAATTGGCCTGTTGAAGATGAATGGCCAATACATGCAGCAGCCATTTTTGAGAGGCGGGGGAGGAAGGGCTTCACAGTATATTCCACTGTGCCACAGCATTTTGTGCAATGTGCTCTGCCCAGCTGGAACAAGCAAAGAGGGCATATGATCAATCCTGAAGAGCTGGGAAAGCAAAAGCAGTCTTCTTAGGGATGATGATGAAGGCATTGAGCAAGCAAAACATCACATTCAGCATGACAGCGTGGTGTGCAATTGGGTGCAACAAGCCATTCTTACAGCTGTAGTTACTTTAACAGTTGGTTAAATAGGTGATGATGTAGAGGCAATACATTTACGATTGTGAGATTCTATTTCCAATGAAGGATCACCTGTTCCACCCATGAACCCTCAGAAGCTTTTCTTTTGTTCTCCTCCCACAACATCTACTGTGAGGGCTATTCTGGTTAACTGACATTTGAACAAGTCAGCGAGAAATTCCAGAAGTCCTGATGTCAGTGTCCAGTTTTTTGTGTATATATCAAACCTACTGCCAATCTCATGTCTAAAACAGACCATAATTGCTGCATCCCTCATTTTCATCTACTGTTTAATAATACAACAGACCTTTCTCTAACACAATAATCCAAGCAGCCTTTTTAAAGTAATCTGCCAAAAGGTTTTTGGAAACATTTAAATTAAATATAAAGTGAGTTTTCTTAAATTTGTGAGCTTAAATTTCAAAGTTTGTAAGCTTCCAAAGTAATGCATATCCTGATACACTCTGTGTTCCTTGGGATAATTCTTTCATAGAATGCCATAAAACAAAATTTCTTCTCCTACTTGCACCTCTACCATGCAATAATTAGCCAAGGGTTCAAGCCAATAACTGCAAACTGCAGTTATTAAACAAGGCTACACAAGAGCAGTGAGAACGGCTATAATCATTTGATATACAGAATAGTATCAGTTAGAAAGCATGTTCATATCATTTTTAAGAACACATATATACCATAATTCTAAAAGATAAGATATGACTGTGTCAGAACAACCTTGGTAGTTTATCATATTTCAGTATTAGACATTGTATACTGTAAGATAATCTGCGAAGTGTAAGCATTGGATAATATTCAACATCAAGTTTCTTGGTCTTCAGCTCAAATCAAATCTAAATTATTGAGGTTCCAAAATCTTTAACAAAAGATATTAGGTATATTGTAACAAATTGCAATTATTTCATAAAATAAAAGTAGAAAATGCTGGAGAAACTCGGCAGATCCTGTTGATTCAAAGACACTCAAAATATTAACTCTGTTTCTGTCTCAAGAGTTGCTGCTGCACATGTTGCATTTCTCCAGTATTTTCTATTTTTATTTCAGATTTCCAGCATCCATAGTATTTTGTTTTTATTTGCTTCCCCATACAGTAACAAGTCCTCAGATGCTTCAACTTCAATAAGAAAAACAGGTGTACACAGATTAAAAACAAACTGCAGATTTTTTTTTTTATTCATTAACAGGATGAGGGTATTGCTGGCTAGACAGCATTTATTGCCCAGAGACAGTTCAGAGTCAACCATATTGCTGTGGGTCTGGAGTCACATGTAGGCCAGACCAGGTAAGGATGGCAGTTTCCTTTCCTAAAGGACATTAGTGAACCAGATGAGATTTTCCTGACAATCGACAATGGATTTATAGTCATCATTAGATTGTTAATCCCAGATATTTATTGAATTCAAATTCCAGCCTGATTCAAACCCAAGTCCCCTGAACGTTATCTGGATTAACAATCCAGCGATAATACCACTTGGCCATCACCTCCCCTGGTGGTAAATACTAGAAATCACCAACAAAATCAGAAATTCCTGGAAAACACTCAGCAGGTCTGGCAGCATCTGTGGAGAGAAAGTAGAGTCAACATTTTGGGGCCAGTGATTCTTCAGAACTCAGATGATCACAGATATATGTAAATGATATGCATGGTTAATTAGATTCCATCAGTGGCAATAGAGATTGAAAACTAAAATGGTATATTTATACAAAAGGAAAATAAACCAACGTGACCTCTGCTATTAACAAAGCAAAATCACTTCGAACAGACTGAAAAAGTTGAATATTAAAATCAGATTTTCATCATTAATAGCAAAAATGTGTTCTCTGCCTCATTGGGACTAAAGCATTAATGAGTTAAATCAAAAACTTAAGAGATACGTCACAAACATTTTTGGAATTATTTTGTGTAGCATTTTTGTGCATTTTAGATAAAGATAAAATTAAGTACCACCATTGTTAAAATTAATATTAATTAATTTTCTATTTCAGGTCAGCCATTTTGAAACTGGTCACAGTCATGAATGTAAGAGTTAGACTTGGTTATACCAAGACAAATTTATGTCTTTACAACTGAGCTATGTTTTACATTGAGTACTTTTAAAAACTATTTATTATTAGCATATGGATAAGAGTAACAATACAATATTTATCAGCTACATGCAGTTATCCTGAGAAAGTAATGGTACACTGCCTTCTTGAAGTCAACCAAACTATGACTATGATCTGAGAATCTACTGCAGAAGGTGTAAAAAATGAATTACTCATTTGGGATTCATGAATAAGCTAGCCCAAGTAGGGTGGCATATTCCCTTTCCTGAATGACATTAGTAAGCCAGTTGTTATTTTTAAAGAACAATGGAGCAGCTTATATGATTATACGTTAATTATAGGATATGAATCATCACATTTATTGAATTAAATTGCACACATCGTCATTGCATTAATTTCTGATTATTTGCCTTTAACTTTACATTCCTTTTTGCTGCATAATAACTAGTGTGCACGGCATGGTGAAGACAATGTGCTGTTATTGAACGTGATACTCTAACTTTTGATGGTGCTGAATTATTTCTTTGGTAGTGGAAGGGGAATGGAATATTGCTCTAAATTGTGATAAGTAACTCATTCAGGATACAGGATTAACAAATGCCTTCAGCATACTTATAGTCAAAGTATTTCAGACATTAGAGCAGACGTTAAAATGAATGGATCATCTTCAAATTTCTAACACAATAAAATGCTGTAAAAGACTGATCAGATCAAGAGCCAGATCAGAACCTGAATAGTGGCTGAAGTTCAGCAAAACTACATTATCAGATAAAAACAGTTTGATTTATCTTAAAATTTGATGTTTTAGCAGTATGAAGAAATGCATAATTAACTTTTGAATGGAAGTTAATTTTACAATGAATGACCTCATCTTCAAGTTGTCATTGGAAAATACACTGATGCATCTAATTTTAACAGTATGTTTCAACTGGGAGGTAAAACTTGGATACATGAAAGATGATGAAACAATAACTGCATTAATGTATGGTTTGGCAAGATCAGAAATACTTTAAGGAAACAAATCTTAAATGTTAACTGTTTCTCTTTTCACAGATGCTACCAGAATTTTGAGTATTTTCATTCTTGTTCTGATTTCTGTGATTGTTTGTTGCATAAACAGCATTTAATCATGATTCATAAATCACCACAATACTTAGCATTTTAAATTTCACTTTTGCATGTATGGAGATATATTTAACAAAAATATAATTTGTTTATATAACACCACTAATATAAAGGCCCAACATTCTAAACTGGATCAAAGTAGCATCTCAAAATAAATCAGGTGAAATAAGGGGATATGACCAAAAGCTTGCGAAAAGAAGGTAGTTTAGAGGGACATTTTTAAATGAGGAAAGAAAAGAGGTGAGAAGTTTAAGGAGGGAACTGTAGAGTTTAGTCAGATGTTGCTTAAATTGGGAGTCAGTGTAGGTAAGCAAATGTAATGATGAAAGATAAGTTGGTTTTTGCATGTGTAGGGACATGTAAGAATTCTAGATGACCTCTGTTTAGATGGGGTAGAATGTGAGAGGTTAGCCAGGAACACATAGTCAAGTTTACAAGTAACAAAAGATCTGGTTGAAGGTTTCAGCAACAGGTGAATATAGGTAGGGGCAGATTTGAGCAATGTTACCCAATTAGAAATAGGTGATTTTAGTGATGGTGCAAATATGATTGCAAGTTCACCCCGGGTCAAATATCACACTGAAGTTATGAGCAGCTCGGTGGTTCAGCCTCAGACAGTTGCAATAGAGAGAATAACAAGGAACAAAGTTTGCAGAGGGAGTATGAAGACAATTAGTTATGTTTTTAAGGCTTAATTGTAGGAAATTTCCGCTCATGCAGCATTAGATGTTGGATAGACAGGCTGACAATATGTGGAGCAGTCATGAGAGGTTGTGATAAGGTTGAGACTAGTGTCACCATCTTACAGGGAAATTAGGTATTTTCCAATGATGTCGCTGAACAGCAGGAAGTAGCTGAAACGAAGGAGTGGTAAGGGTAGATACTTGAGAAACAACAAGAGTTAATGGTGCAAGAGTTTGAACAGAAACCGTGGCAAATGATAGTCTACCTGTGATCAGATTGACAAGAATGGGCACAGACATTGATTCCATAAATGTTTTGAAAAGACTGAAAACTACAGTTCACTCATTAGACAAAGAGCAGGAAAATAACATTGACTGGTGGAGACAGATTCAATTAAGGAAAAGAATGGATGTGAATGAGCTACAGTAGATGTGTGAGGATGGCGCAAGACAAGTGCATGTGACAAGCCATTGCAGCTGCTAGGTGGGATGGGGGTGGAAGTGGTGTAGGAGAAGTTATGTTAGACTAGTTCCAGGCTAATGCTCTGAGCAAATGGATTTCAATCCCACCACTGGATGGCAACATTTGAATTCAATAAAAATCTGGATTGTTGTAAACTGTTGATGTTGTAAAAAAATTTTAAAAAGATCAATGATGTCCTTTTGGTAGGGAAATCTGCCATCCTTACCATGGCCTACATGTGACTCCAGATCCACAGCAATGTGGTAAACTCTTAACTGCCCCCTGGAAAATTAGGGATGGGTAATAAATGCTGGCCTAGACTATGACACTGAGATACTATTAAAAAAAGTTAAAAAATCTCCTGGTAAGGCTGGGTGCAAGCATCAGGAGAAAGAGAAAGTTGCTCCCTGAAAGAATTACTAAAATAAAATATGCTGAATGGTCTGTTTTTGTGTTGAACTATTATTTTATGATTCTATCTTTAGATATGCTAAGTCAGCAAAGTTCATTTTATATCTTAAGTGAATATGTTCCTCCTTCTGATTATGAAATGGATGTAAATCTTTAAAAATCCATCTTTGATAATATATTTACTAGACCTAGTCCTTCTTCTTAGCGAGGGAGATACACACAGTTTACAGGTTAAGTAATAGGGCACAAAGTTGGCAATGGAGTATAATGTGGGAAAATATGAAGCTGTTCATTTTGGAAGGAAGAACAAAAGCACAGAGTATTATTTAAATAGATGAAAGCTGCAAAAATTAACAACACAAAGGGTTTTTTAGGTAAATATGCATGACAGGTGAGTGTGACAAACCATGACAGCTAGTAGGTGGGAAAGGGGAGGAAGTGATGTCATCAAAATGACAATAGAAAGCTAGTACACAGGTGAAGCAGGTAAACAGAAAGGCTAATAGAAAGCCTTTATATCAAGGATTGGAGTATAAGAGTAGAGAAGTCTTTGCAACTGAACAGGGTGCTGGTGAGACCACATCTGAGTACCATAAGCAGTTTTGATCCCCTTATTTAAGGAAAGATATCATGTTATTGTTGCAGTTCAGAACAAGTTCACTAGAATGGTCCCGAGTATGGGGGGATTCTGACAGAATGAGGACAGCATGATATTTGAAGTTAAAATCAGGACAAATTCAGTCTATTTGCTGGAAATGTAAATTTTTAAAAAGCAAATTACATCAATTCAGAAAATAATGAACAAAAAAATATTTTTTTCTCCCGAACTAACAATGTCATTCCTCGCAGCAAGCAGTTTTCAAGTAAAGACTTAACACATTGCTCTATTGCAGTTACTTGTGCAGCACCCAAGAATCTTGAGAATGGCAGAGTAACATCATTCCCTTATAATTGTCACTTTATATGGAAATATATAAGGTAAGCATCTAAGACAGGAAATTTGGTATGTCCTTAAGGACCCTCATCAACTTTTACACATGCAATATAGAAAGCATTCTATCCAGGTGCATAGCGGCCTGGTACGGCAACTGCTCTGGCCAGGACTGTAAGAAACTACAAAAGGTTGTGTGCACAGCCCAGATCATCACAGAAGCCAACCTCCCATCCGTGGACTCCATTTACACATCTTGTTGCCACGGTAAAGCTGCCAACATCATCAAAGACCCATCCCACCCTGGTAATGCTCGCCTACGACAGCTACAAGTTCACTGACGACACCACCCTAGTGGGGCAGATATCTAACAGCGATGAGTCAAAATACAAAAGAGAGATAGAGGGCTTGGTGATGTGGTGCAATGAAAACAACCTCTCTCTCAATTTTGGAAAAACTAAAGAACTGATCATTGACTTCAGAAAGAAACGAGGAGAACACGCCCCCATCTACATCAATGGAACTGAGGTTGAGACAGTGGAGAGTGTCAAGTTCCTCAGAGTGACAATAACCAACAAACCTGTCCGGGATTGCCTACGTAAATGCAACAGTCAAGAAGGCACAATAATGCCTCTTCTTCCTCAGGCAGCTCAGAGAATTTGGCATGTCCCTAAGGACCCTCCCCAACTTCTACAGATGCACGATTGAAAGCATTCTGTCCGGTGCATGACAGCCTAGTATGGCAACTGCTTTGCCCAGGATTGTAAGAAACTACAGATGGTGGTGTGCCCAGCCCAGACCATTTACATTGTTCGTTGCTGCGGAAGGGCTGCACCCTGGTAATGATCTCCTATAACTTCTTCCATCAGGCAGAAAATGAGGAAGCCTGAACATGTGCAAGAGCAGGTTCAGGAACAGCTTCTTCCCGGCCGTTATTAAACTGATGAATGGACTCTCTAGCCTCAAGTAGTGATTGATCATGCCATTGTTGATCTGGACTAGCACACGCCCCGTGCAATGTAACCTGTACTTCTGTCTAAGTTGTTCTGATCTGTACATCCTTGCTTACTATGATCTGAATGTACTGCTTGTAAACAAAGCTTTTCATTGTATTTCAGTATGCGTGACAATAAATCAATCAATCAATCAGTCAGCCAACATGAGAAGGCCTGTTTATTCTGTTTTCTGCCTGTCAGTCAAATCATGACCCATGTCAATACTTTACCTCATATGCCAAGAATGTTAATTTTGCTAGCTCCTATACCTCAATGGAATTTTGGAGATTATGACCAATGCATCAAAAATCTCTAATTTCACCTCTGTCAACACTCTGGGCCTTAGATTTTTCTTTGTTCATTAACAGGATGAGGGGCATCACTGGCCAGGCAGCAATTATTGGGGCAGTTCAGAGTCAACCACATTGCTGTGGGTCTGGAGTCACATGAAGACCAGACCAGGTAAGGATGACAGTTTCCTTCCCTAAAGCGCATTAGTGAACCAGATGAGTTTTTCCTGACAATCAACAATGGATTCATGGTCATCATTAGACTCTTAATCCCAGATATTTATTGAATTCACATTCCACCATCTGCCATGGCAGGATTTGAACCCGGGTCCCCAGAAAGTTATCTGGGTCTCTGGAGTAACAGTCCAGCGAAAATACCACTAGGGCATCGCCTCCCCAATAGGCCATTGCCTCGCCAGTGATCAATTCCTGGGGATTTATTAACTTTCATCCCCAATAATTTCTCCAAAAAGCTTCTTACTAACCCTAATTTCCTTTACCTCCTCATTATCCATCATCACTTGGACTAAATTCTAAGAGATTTCTTTTTTTCTTCCTCAATGGGAATAAATAAAAGTAATCATTTCACTCCTTGGCACTTTTCTGTTCCCCATTATAAATTCTCCTGACTCCATTTTCAATGAACCCACATTGATCTCGGCCAAACATTTCTTTTTTATATGTCTGTGGTAGCGTTAACAGTCCAATTTGCTGGATTGCATTTGTAATCTATTCTCCCTTTCCATGTCAGCTTTCTTGGTCCTCCTTTACTGTGTGCCAAAAGAAAATTTCAGTCTTCAGATATATTACTACTTCTAGCCATTTTAATTTTTAATCATGTAGGATCCTTAAATTCCTTTATAATCTGCAGATGATCACCTCTTTTTGAGTTTTTATTTGAAATAGAATGTTTTTTTGCAATCACTGTCATTTTTCTTTTTGCCTTCCGCAATGTTCTACCTAAGCTCCTGTACCTCAACTGAAATAGCTTCTACATGCAGATGAGAGTACTCTAATTTTGCATTGTGGTAGTTGATTGTTCCAATCCTAGCTCTAAAGAATGAACTTGCTACTTGAAATGATTTGTCTCCTGACCCTTCTGTTGCAATTTATTTTCCAAATTCCTTCTCTACCTTTGACTTCGCTGACTGTCAAATGTCAAGGTAACAAAATCACTATTTCTTTCCTTTCTTTCCCTTTTGCCCCCTTATATCATTATACCTTATACTCGTCTTATACAAGTCCATGATGAATCCCAGTTTTCCTTAGTTATTTTATGCTACTGGGCACCTTTCTATTTCAATCTGCCAAGAATTTGCTAAGTGTTCTGTCCAGTTCACAACCTAAATTTATATCTGCCATGATCGATGTGCTGTCAATACTCTAATGGCATGTCCCCCAAAAAAATGGTCATTCCCATTTTACCCGACCAGATGTATCTGTAGGAAATGGTGTTCCTCATTTTTTCTTACAGGGCTGGGAAACGGTCCCTCCCATCTTATCCTGTCTCTCTACACTGTCTAGGAAATAATCAGAAGTAAGAGTGACCAGTCTGTAATTCCCAGGATTATCCCTATTCCCTTTCTTGCACAAGGGAATGATATTTGCCACCCTCCAACCATCTGGTACTACTCCAGTGGACAGTGAGGACTCAAAGATCATTGCCAAAGAGGCAGTAATCTCCTCCCTCACTTCCTGTAGTAACCTTGGGTACATCCTGTCTGGCCCAGGGGCTTACCTATCCTCATGTTTTTCAAAATTTCTAGCATATCCTCCTTCCTAACATCAACCTGTTCAAGCATATCTGCCTGTTTCGTGCTGTCCTCACAAACGTCAAGGTCCCTCTCACTGATGAATACTGAAGCAAAGTATTCATTAAGGACCTCCCCTACCTCCACTGACTCTGTGCACAAGTTCCTTCCACTATTCCTGATCAGTCCTACCCTCACTCTGGCCATCCTCATAAAAGCATAGAATTCCTTGGGGTTTTCCTTGATCCTACCCGCCAAGGCTTTCTCATACTCCCTTCTAGCTCTCCTAAGTCCATTCTTCAGTTCCTTCCTGGCTACCTTGTAGACTTCTAGAGCCCTGTCCGATCCTTGCTTCCTCAACCTTAAGTAAGTTTCCTTCTTCCTCTTGACTAGGTGTTCCATATGTCTTGTCATCCAAGGTTCCTTCACCTTACCATCCTTTCCTTGCCTCAGTGGGACAAACCTATCCAGTACCTGTAGTAACTGCTCTTAAGCAACCTCCACATTTCTGTCAAGCATTTCCCTGAGAACATCTGATCCCAATTTATGCTCTGCAGTTCTTGCCTAATAGCATTGTAATTCCCCCTCCCCAATTAAATACTTTCCCCTACCATCTGCTCCTATCCCTCTCCCTTCTTCTTAAACTTTTAACCTGTGTTAGTGTATGTGTTTAATGTCACATCTGATTGGGGTTCTTGCTACTAAATAATCAAATTTCTCTTATTTTCATTCAAGAAACCTTGTAATTGGCCCCTTAACTTGGGCAAAGGCTATATTTTAATTGCAGTGTGATATAGTTACATGTTTTAAAAAAAAATTACTGTGGGGTGTTAAAAAGGGGCATGATCAAAATGTTTGCAGATGGCACAACAAAATTGGTCATGTGGTTGATCATGAGGCACATAGGTTTTGACTACAGGGTTATATCAACTCCCTGGGTGACATGTCCATACTGGGCCTCCTCCAGTGCCACAATGATGCCACACATAAACTGGAGGAGCAACACCTCATATTCTGCCTCGAGAGCCTACAGCCCAATGGCCTTAACATAAAATTCACCAGTTTTAAAATCTCCCCATCCCCGGCCTCATCCCATGTCCAAACCTCCCTCTCATCCCCACCTCCTTGACCTGACACAACCTGTCCATCTTCTCCCCCACCAATCCGCCCTACCCTTCTCGCCAACCAATCCCCACCACTCCCTACCTACATCCACCTATCACCACCCCACCTACCTTTCACCAGCCCCACACCTCCTTCTATTTATTTCCTAGCTCCCTTCCCCTCCCCATTTCCAAACAAACTCTAATGCTGTTTAACTCAAGAATGCCTGCCTGGCTTAATTCTTAGACATTACTTACAGCCCACTATTTACAATTGCAATCTGTTTCCCTCAAATCAGGAGGGGGAAAAGAGTAAAATAATTTAATCCTCATTACCTGGTTGGCAGCTAGTCATTTTACATTCAGAAGGTACTTAAATGAAGTATGCAGGAACTTGACAATGTGAGAACGCGTTCGGCAATAGATGCTTTATCCATTCAAACGCTCAGAGAAGACATTCCCAACGACGACAACACCTGGAGCAAGTGAAGTTGGTGATTGAATGTAATTGTGAGACGTAGAGGAGAGGATTTAGTCCGGTTGCAAATCCCACCTCTCCTGGAGATGTGTTCATTTACAAAGCAAACGTAATCATTTTAATTTCTTACAATTCTCCAATGGAAAAACATGCACAATATATTTGAGAGCTGGTGAAATTCTGACCTTACCTGGATTATCACTGGAGCTTACAGTCACAAAAACTGCGACAATTAGGGTAACTTCCTGCCACATTTTCGTTCTGATGAACTTGGAGTCAGTGCCGTGTCTTCAGAATCCGCTGCCTGTAACAATAAACCGCTGGAACAATGTCTGTTTCTCCTTTCTGGCTGTAACACTAATGTCAGAATTCTCCCTATATCCGATGCGTCGTTTCATTCAGTAATTCCTACGACGATCTTTTTGCGTGTATGGTTGCTCGTATCTGGATGTTACAACAATTCTTGGTGGCCGGCGAGCTGATTGCCGTTAGCAGATACTGTCATTATTTTCTCAGCCCTGAAAACTCAACTGGTTCCCACCCAATACGCGCTGTCAAAAGTCAAAATTATAACATGTTTATCGTGCACACCAGGGCTCAGTGGTTCCTGGAAGCAGAGATAAATACAGAAATGTCACACTTGTAAATAATTTGCCCTTGTTAAGTCGGCTGTTGAAGCCAAGCCTTTACTTCACATGTCAGTTTTATTTTGACTTTTCACTCTCGACAAAATCAGGATCATGTGGAATGCAATATCATAGTGCAAGACCAACAGCCCTGTAATATTCCTTATACACTACCTTCAGATCTGTCACATTACAGACCTGTAGATGTGTGACACCGCTCTATACCATCTACAGTTCTGTCATATTACAATGCCTACTGTTCTGTAATACTACAACCACCATAACTATACACTACCTACAGACCCATAATTCTACTACAGTTATGAATTACAAAAATTAGCTTTATTGTCATATGTACTCACATCAGTACAGTGAAAAGTTTACAAGTTGCCACTTACGCCTATCTTACGTACTAAGGTACCTAGGTACAGATTCTTAAGTACAAATTCTTAAGGAAAAAGAAATAGAAAAATAAAAAAAATGAAAAAGTCCAGCAATAAATTAGAAAAATAGAGAAATAAGAGTTTCACAACAACAGTCCCAACAACCCAGATCGTGCCAGGTTTCACCTCAAGGCCGGCAGTTGAGCCCACATTGAAACTGGGAGTTTGAGTCCACACTGGGGCCGGGAGTCTGAGTTGGCTTTCATCCTGGACATTGTCAAGGCCACCCAAGAATGGGAGGTAAAAAGAAAAAAAATGCAAAAAGAGCAAGAGAAGAAAAAATGAAATGGATGGAACGGATGAGCTCCAGCTCAGGAGTCCAACACTCCGTCAGCCAGATTTCATTCTGGGATCTTACTTATCCAACGTGAACTTCAGTTTGAATCATAACTTTTTCCTGAAGCTTTGCTAGTGCAAATGCTACTGGCCATTTATCAATCTATGCCGGAAAATTCCTCAAAGACTTGCTGTATTGCAGGCACAGGCTGTTTCATTATCTGAAGAGTGGTAAATTGAACTGAACATTTTGCAATCATCATTAATTTTTTCGTATCTGCTGCTGATGGGGCCGTCATTAATGAAGTAGCTGAAGGTGGTTTTACTACTAGGTCCTAAGGAGCTCTTGTAGAAATAACCTGGGCTAAAATGCAACAACCACAACATTATGCTAGGTATAATTCTGTCAAACGATGCTTTCGTGTTGATGGCACTCAGTCTCAACTCGTCTCTGGAATTCAACATATTTGTCCATGTTTGGTTGTAATGTTCGGAACAGAGTGGTGCTTTCAAAATCAAACTGAGAATCAGTAAGCAGGCATACCAATTCCTCTCTGTCCATGCACTACCTCACATTCCCACTCGTCCATCTGCTACTTATACTGCAGTGACGTACTTCTTCCTTCTAGTTCTGTTAACAAATCCTCTCCATTCATTCAAAACATCTCATTACCCCTAATAAGTCTTTACTTCCCATCCTTACAGGAGAAACCACAGGAGAATACTTGGCAGAATGTTTATAGTGGAGTTCCACAAGCGTCAGTCTTATGCTTTTCATAATACAAATTATTAATATAGATGTTAGAGTACGAGGCACAATTTCAAAATATATGGATGACTTGAAACTTGAAAGTATTGTGAACCATGAGGAGGATAATGTAGAAGTTCATAAGGATATACGAAAGTTGGTAAAATAGGTCAGCAGGCAATAGTTGAAATTTAATAGAGAGAAATGTGTAGTGATTTATTTTATTAGGAAGAATGTAGAGATAACATAACTGGCACAAGTCTGGAGGGGTGCAGAGCTGGTGAACATTTGTGTTAATGGATGCAAATATCTAAGATGACTGGAAAAGTTAACAGTGTTTAATAAAGCATAATGTATGAACATATGAATTAGAAGCAGAAATTGGCATTTCAGTCTCTCAAACATGCTCCACCGTTTAATAAAACTTATGGCTGATCTGATGGTATTCTCAAATCCATATACCCAACTATCTTTGATGACATCTAAAACCCCTTAGCTTAAAAAGAATCTATCTGCCTCTGCCACTAAAAATATTCAAAGACTCTGCTTCCGTCACCTCTTCAGGAAGGTAATTCCAAAGACCATGACCTGCTGAGAGAAAAAATCTAAATCCACTTATTCTCTATGATTCACCTAATCTGTAACAGTGACTGCTAGTTCTGGATTCGCCCATAAAAGGAAACATCCTCTCATTGTCAAGAACTCTCAGGATTGTATATGCTATAATCAAATCACCTCTTAATCTTGTAATTTCAAAAAATGCAAACCTACCCTGTCCAAAATTCTTCCTAAAACAATCCACCCCCTCATTACAGATATTCACCTCATAAACCTTCTCTGAAATGCATCCAACACATTTATATATTTTTTAAATAATGTGAGCAATACAGTGTACAGTACTCCAGATAGAACCTCACCAGTGTCTTGTATACCTGAAGCATATCCCCCACACTTTTATATTGTACTTCCTCATGATAACTGATAACATTCTGTTAGCTTTTCTAATTACATGCTGTACCTGCATATTAACATTTTGAGATTCACACACAAGGACACAAGATCCTTTTGCATTTCAAAGCTCTGCAAAATCTCACAATTTCCATTTTTTTAAATTCTCCCTGTCAAAATAGACAATTTCACATTTTCCCACATTATATTCCATTTGCTCCCTCTTTCCCCACTCACTTAACCTATTGATATCTTTTTGTTCTCTCCTTATGTTCTCCTCACAACTTAATTTCCTTTCCGTCTTTGTGTCCTCAGAATATTTGGCAACCATACTTTCCGTTCCTTAATCTAAATTTGTTTATATAAAATATAAACGATGGATGTCCCAGCTGATCCTCTTGGCACACCAGTCATTTACATCAAGCCAACGTGAAAAAAAAAACCCATATGCTTCCTCTCTACTTTTTATTGGACAGCCAATCTTCTGTCCCTGGCACTGAATTAACCTCCTACATGATTAATTTTTATTTTCTGCAATAACCTTTGATATAGCATCTTATTACACATCTTTTTAAATCTAAGTACCATGTGTCCACTGTTTCCTTTTACCCACAACAAGCGTCACCTCCTCAGACATGATTTGCCTTTCTCAAAAACATATGACTCAATCTTACACTAGAGGAAAAGAAGAAAATTTACTCAAAATGCTGAGAACTTTGCAGTGTGGAGTTAATGTTATAAAGTGACTAAGCATCAACTAATTGTATTTTAATTTTGATTTCTACTTCCATTGACATCACATACATTAAGTTAAGTTTTAATTAATTATTTTAATCTTATTACCTTAAACCTGTCCTGCCATAATCTCTTTAATAACAGTTTCTAAGATTCTCCCTAGGACAGATGTTAATCTAACTGTCCTGTGTTTTCTGCTTTATGTCTCCCTCCTTCTAAGAATAAAGGAGTTGTATTGTCTATCTTCAAACGTAAAGGGACTATGCCCAAATAAAGGAAGTTTTGGAAAATTAAAACCAGTGCAACAACTATTTCATGAACCCCTTCTTTTGGAACCGGTAACAAGTCCATCAGGACCTGGGCACTCATCAACCCATAGGTCCAAAGATTGACTCAATACCATTTCTCTGGTGATTCTGATTTTCTTGAGTTCTTCCCTTCTTCACTTTCCTGATTTATTGCTGCTTCTGGGATTTACTTTTATCCTCTTTGTGAAGACTGGAGCAAAAGACCTGTTCAATTCATCTACCATTTCAAATAATTAGGTGAACTGTTCTGCTGTACATTTCATATAATTAATTTGTTCCTTAACAGTGAGAATTAATCATTATCCTGAATAGCAATAAGTTTCTTTTTATTGTAAGCATAGGTATATTCCTGATATTGTTTGTCTTCCTAACAACAAATTGTTAGCTCTTTTTTTTTAAACAAGAGATACCAAGAAATGTGAGGAAGAGAAATATTTTTACATACTTATTGCCCATGAAAGTGGTGAAACAATCAATGACTTCTAAAGGAAACTGGCTAGGTACATTAAGGAAATAAACGAACAGTGTTACAAGGCTCAAGAGAGGAAATAGAGCTGACCAGATTGCTCCGCAACATGTCACCATGGACTCAATGTGCTGAATACCCTACTTTTGTGCTATAATTGGCAATGATTCTTAATATATACAGTCTAGCTGTTAATGTAATGCAACTGGTTTATTCTCATTGCTCAAGAGAATAGTCTTTTTAACTATTGTATTGCAACAGTTAGGTTTGGAGTATTGTAGTTACAATTCTAAAATGTGGAACCAAAGGAAGACCTTCCTTAATCTGAAACTGTTTGTTCAACAACAGGGCGGCGATTACTAGCACACACCAGCAAGTTGAACCATTGTTTAATAAATTATCTAACGTTACTCCTTCAACTTGTTACCAAGTTGACAAAGATTTGAGAGCAACTCATAGTCCTATTGTTAGCAGTCTCACAAGAAAATGGGGCAGCACCTCCACCTCCTCTAGTGACTGAGGCCAAGCGCTACATGCAAAATAGTGTAGATACTGGAATCTGTACTGAAAGCAAAAAGTACTGGAGATCACAGCAGTTCAGGCAGCATCTATAGAAAGAAAGCAAGCTAACGTTTCAATTTCAGATGACTCGTCATCAGAGCTGATGTGAAGTGTGGAAGGCAGCATTTAGGCCAAACAGCTCTTCTGTTCCACAGTTCAAGGTTTAGGAATAGAGGGACCTGGTGCATTTAACAAAGTCTTTGTTCCTGTTAGATTGCCATGGGAATTTTGGTCTTTGGTTGGGGGTAGGCAAACATTTCTATTTGGATCTTGAGTTGATATGAACTTTAACCTCTATCTTGTTCCTCAATAGCTACTGATCTAAGCCTATAAAATGTATTTTGCAATACTGTTCAGTGAAGGATAAGTGTTTTTGTTTGGAAATTTATTTAATTTTTCTCTGTATTTAGTTTTTTTTATCTAATGCATTGATTTGAATCTTAATTTTGAGCACAGCATTTTCTGCCTAGTTGTATTGCTTGAACCTTATTTTTGTTACAAAGGGGGGGAAGGC